GTATAATTAAAATATATAATATATAAATATAAAATACTTTGTTGTAAATATTTTTTACATTTCAGAAAAAATCATGGTAAGCAAAATATGGGGACATGGAATGTTGCCGCAAAAAAAGAATCACCCAATTGATTCATCGTGATTAATCCAATTAATTTTCATGCAGCTGAAACTGATTTTATGCTAAATCAGTTTGCCATACTTGGTGCACTACAGCTGATGGTTTGTGTTATCAGGTTTAGTCCACAAGGGGGCGCCACAGGACTGTGTTAGAACCCCATATATAAGATACATCATCACTCTGTCTCAGTCTGTCATATGCAGACATTCAGTTTTATGCTGATAATTCAGACATTTAAATCTTTGGATCAACTTTTATAAAAGCCTCTGATTCCAGCAGGAAGCCTCAGTTTCTGTCCCGACTCATTAATTCAGCTTAACATGGTGAATTAATGTTAAACTTCGTCTGCACTGAGACGAAGCAAAGCTGATGTTTTCCAGTTAAAGGAAGTTTGTCCCAATGATTCTCAGTGAGTGACAGTTTCTGAGGTAATGAAATAGAAACGATCACATGAATGAGTATCTGGGCCTAATGATTTGTTTTGCTCACTTTCACATGTACAAAAACTTCAGTTTTTTCTAAGTAAGTTTGGTTAGAAACATTTCTACCTGATCTGAATTATGCACATATTTTATACGTGAATGTTTCTCCATCCAGTTGATGTTGAGGATCTGGTTCTCAGGTTCATCATTTACATTTCTGACTCCACTGAGTTATTCTGTCAGTCAGAGGAACATTCATTTCTATAACTTTATCCAGGGAATCAGGAAGGAGATGAACACTTTTCACACCACGATACAACACAGCCTCCATCTTCAGTAACCTCAGAACATAGAGGCTTAAAAACATCTGTCTGTATAACCAAAGGTCTATAGAGTAGCAAAACAGATCAAACCATGACAGAAATAATTATAAAATCTAATGATTAGCAATAAAGGCAGAAATAAAACACACTATGAAGACTGGAATGACTCTAATAAAAGCAGAAACAATAATAATTGACTCATGCCGTGTCAGAAGCCACTGAAAGCAAAGTGAGTTTCAGTGAGACTTAAAAACAGCAAGAGATGAAATGAAGTCTGAATGTCAGATTAATAATCAGCTGATCCATAATCCTGGAGCCATGACTGGAAAAGTCTGATCTCTGAGCCAGACTCTAGTTTTTGTTGCTACCAACATCTAAGATATAAGGTCAAAGGTGAAATTTAGGACTGAAGCAGGTCAGAAAGGTAAAAAACTCATTAACTCAACTTAAAACATAATAAAATATATTTTGTTCCTCAGTGGGAGAGTTTATGTGTATCAGCAGCAAATGACAAACAGAAATAAAGATATTAATTAATAAAGATAGCATGTTTCAAAAACATGGAAAATATAATTGACCTTTGACCTCTCTGCTTTTCCTCTCCAGCCGATCAGATAAGTGTCTCAGCAGAACCTGGACAGAACGTCACTCTGCCCTGTAGATCTGCTGGCAGCACAGCTGTTATTGTTGTACTGTGGAGAAGAACCGATCTGGGCTCAGAATATGTCCTTCTGTACCGAGACGGTCGGGTTGATCCAAGAAACCAGAACCCGTCTTATCAGAACCGGGTGGATCTGATGGACCGACAGATGAAGGATGGAGACGTGTCTCTGGTTCTGAAGAACCTGACCACTAACGATACGGGACTATATCAGTGCCGAGTCCAGAAGGAAGGAAGCCTTGATGCTGAACTGATCAGAACCATCAACCTGCAGGTTCTTCCTCCAGGTGAGTTTTTGTCTCTGGATCAGAACCAGCAGCTTCCTGGTTCTGGATCTCAGACAGAAACATCTTAAATCTGATCCAATCGGCTCATTGTCTTGTTCTGTGTTGTTTTTCTGCAGGAGACAAAGATGGAGGAACCAAGGATGGATCCATTGGACTGATTCTCGGTCTGATCTTATTAGCTTTTGCTTTTGTTGCTGGTGTTTCATTTCTGATCTATAAAAAACAATCAGCTTGTTTCAGGAAGAAAACCTCAGATCCTCCAGTTGATCTGTAGATTTACTGTAAAGGCCTTAAATCTGAGGACATGACTTACATCAGATTATTTGGTAACACTTTATTTGAAGGGGGTTGAATAAGACTGTCATGACACTGTCATAAACATGACATAACACCTGTCATGAACATGAATAAGCCTTCATGAATATTTATGACTGTTGTCATAAAGCGTCATTTGGTAAATTATGACACTTTTAATACAAAGTTGGCATTATTCAAAATGTCTTTATGACAACTTGACATTAACCAAGAAT